TTTTTAAATTGTCTTATTTTTTTTTTTCTGATGCAAGGAGAGTAAAAGTTGAGTTGAGAGGATGTCATATATTTCAATGTCTTTACAGACTATTGTGGTTCTTGGTTGGCAATTAGAAGATATCCGTTATTATTATATTTAGAATCACAGTTATTCAGTTTGGTTATTACTTGTTTGCTTGGAATCTGACCACTCTTTCATTTGTTTAGGATTAAGCTTGGTCATTGTCCAACTATGTATTCTGCAAATCATTCAGAAGCGAAAGTCTAACCGTGTAAATTCTTGTTTTGTTATAGTATTTGACATGTAATCTGTAGATGTATTTTCTATTATGAAAAGTACTATTTAGTCATTATGCTGTCATTTGGTTGTAGTATAAATTTTTCATCAACTAGTCATTTGTGTGAACTGGAGCTTCGACGGCTGCCTAAGTTAAGACATTTATTTCTGACTAACCATGCATGCTCTTAAGCCTGAAATGAGCACGTTTGTCCAACAGGGAATATTCATTTCTTCTGTCTGATCAAGTAAATGTAAACCACTGATCACATATTTTGTAGTTAAGTGATAAATAATTGATGTTGAACAATCTTAACATGAACTGTCCCGTGGGGGAGTGGTTAAGCTTGGTTTTTTCCACCTGGCGCGCGAGTAAAGTGTGTTCCATCACATTTTTTTATTTTATTTTGAGGGCAGAATACGTATTTCTAAATTTTTTATTCAAACTAGAGGACAATTTTGCAGTGACACTGTCAAGGGGATTGAGTTCCCTCAATTAAGGAAAATGTTGTTATGGAACTTACCTGAGTTTCAAAGTTTCAGTCCTACAGCCAACAGTGACTCAAATACTCTTTTTGATGAAAAGGTTTTGCTTCTTATCACCACCTTTTACTTGAGCATTAAACATATTTAATTACTTAAACAAAGTCTATATCCTTTTTGTCTAACTAGTGAAAAAATAATTTGTTATTTAAAAAAGACTATATTTGATGTGAATTTTTTTTGACTTTTTTTATCCAACTGTTATTTTAATTAGTTTTAAATATCTCCCCCATAGATCTATTAACTTATCATTATTTGAGTTTTATATTCTTATTTTATTTGTTTAGTGTGAAAATAAATAGATATGGAAAAGAAGAAGAAAAAGTAAGAACAAATTTTAAGACTATTTTTTTGGGCAGCTATATTCTAATTTATTTTTTGAGAAAAGGTCGATAATGTCTTAAATTATGTGAAATGATAAAAAATGACCTCAATCTATAGTTTAGTTCAAAAATGTTTTTGTCCTCAATTCTTTGGTCCAAAAATGTTCTTTCCATTGGTAGTTTGTTTTGGAAATGCTCCTACTGTTACGAGTAAAAAATAATATTTTTTTCAGTATAAAAATATTATTTCTTTTCTTTTTAACAAATCTTATTTCTATTAAAAGATATTATTTTAAGTACTCTATTCTTGTTTTCTTTATTTTAAAATTACTTTATCTATCAAAAATGTACCCTTTAAACGGATAATATAGATCATGTGTATAAGATCACTAGTTTCCGGGCACGCGCTTTGCACGTGTAACCATGAGTGTATTATTTCTTAAAAGATAATACTACTAAATAATAAAATATGTCTAATTGAGATTTCTTACTTTGTTTTACTACTAATTGTGACACTCCAATTTTCTGACCTCCAAGTGAATTCATCGAGATAATAATATGAGAAATTAATAAAATAAACTTTGTTTGTAATTCAAAAAATAAGTTTGTAAAGCTAAAAGAAAAAATAACAACTATCTAAATTAAATTTCTTGATAGTTCCGTTTTATTGGTAGAATAATGCTAGATAGTGTAAGATTAACTTTGAGTGAAAGGAAAACAAAACCTTTCAACTTTTTTAATGAATGTGTTTTAAGTATTGTATTAAATTTTTATCCACAAACACTTTAAACTAATTAGTTAACTATAAATATTTAAAACTAAGATGTAAAATGTTTTATTATTTATATTTTAAAAATCAGGATATTTATGAATAACTACTTATTTTTATATAAAATTTAATTCTGTCATACATAACTTATCCACCATTAATCTAATATTATATGTTTCACCTTTTTTTTCCATAAAAAGAAAAGAAAAGAGTAAACATCCTATTTTATCACATTCATTCTTAAAGATGAAAATTAATGTATATGTAAAAATTATAAGTACGGAGAAAAGAAAAAAAAAGGTACACATAAGCAAGAATAATTAGGCATTTCATTTTGTTTGTCTCTATAGTGAAACTGAACATTTGAGCATATAAAATACAAATATGAATTTAGAGCAACTTGCTAATAAAAGAAGATTTCAACTATATGAAGAGAGACAGAAAAGTCTTATTATAATTCTTACTACAAATAAGTATAAAACTAACACATCCATCTCCGATGCTTCAGTAATTGAATTCTTATCTATTCTCGTAACTGCATAAGGGAATCTCACAACTTTCACCTCAAATTGTGACATTATTTCACATGTTTAGAGTTCCTACATACAAGAATTGTAGGAGTGGTAAATAAAAGTTCTTCTTGAAAAAGTTAAATTTATAGAACAAAATTATGAAAACATGAAAAGTCACATTAATTATTGTTAAAATAAATATAAAAAAGATAGAGATGAAATTTAATTTTAAAGATACATGAATCTACTTTAATCTTCTTGATACTTACTCATTTTTATTTTTATTTACATTTATGTTAGAAATTTGAAAGGTCAAGATTATGAAATGAGAATAAGAAGATTATATATATATATATATATATAAGTTTTAATTTATTAGAGGGGCAAAATGGTAATTCAACTTCTAAGTTTTGAGCTTCATGCTTATAATAATATATGATAGTAAATCAACTATTAATTTTTATTTTGATATTTATAATAAAATAAGAAATATCTTTATTGTTGTTTTTTTCCAATTGAAGTAGGATAACATTTGCTAATAAAAAAATATCATTAGGAAAAGAATGTGTTTAGAAATTCAAATAAATAATATATTTATTTGAAAAATGACATTTTTGCCTTATTAAGTAACAATAAAGTCATTTTAGACCACTTTTCATTTTTTTTTTATATTTGCAGAAAAATGAAGCATTTATGATAAATTTTATAAGAAGGTGAGTGAAACCTAAATTATTCATTGAATTAAGGGATTAGAGGCAAATATACTGCTCAACTTGTGATTTTGAGCCTATATACCTCTACCGTCTAATATATGGTGCATAATTTTCTTTTCCGTTAATAAATTTATATTTATTTAATTAAAAAATTATATGATAGTGATTTTTTAATTCAAAAAATGTCATGTGGCTTTCAAAAACTATCTCACACTTTTTTTTTTACCCCTCTGACCCAGCCCAAATGGAAAAAAAAAATACTAATGTATTTGAGATACTAAAAAAAAAATTAAAAATAAATGTGTGTAAGGACTTTTGGCAATAGCTCCAACAAAGTTTGATACTTGAACGCTCGCAGGTTTCTTGTCCTTAACCTGGAAGACCTAAATATCGACTGCCTTAACAGCATAAGTGCTCTATGCTCTTACCAACTTCCAACTGACTACTTCAACAAACTTCATACATTGTATGTATGGAATTGTGGAAAATTCAGAAACTTGATGTCTCCATTAGTGGCCAAAGGTCTTCTGAATCTCCAATTGCTAGGGATAAAAAGGTGTGAATCAATGGAAGAAGTGATCACAAAAGGAGAAGGAATCATCACCTTATTTCCCCAATTGAAATACCTGTATCTTGGCCATCTGCCTAAGCTGGGGCATTTCTTTCTGACGGAGTGTGCTCTTACATTTCCATTTCTCAAGGTAGTGGATATTGATGACTGCCCTGAAATGAAGACGTTTGTCCAACATGGAATATCTGTGAGTACACCGAGTCTCAAATGTGACAATGAGGTGAAAGTAGATGATCTGAATAAATGGATACAACAGAGGTTCAATAACAAGGTATATATGTCTTATTCGGCTAGCAACATATTCTCTTTCCGTTTTAGATACTTCATCAACTTTGTTTTACTTAATAAGCTACTCATCTCTCTCTTCTTTAGCATTCTCTGTTTCCTGCAGGAACAAAAGCTAGTGATGACGACGAAGCTAGTGATGACAACAAAGCTAGTGAAGAAGACAAAGTTAGTGATGACGATGAAGCTGAACCTAGTCATGCCAGAAGTTAGTAAGTACTCAGTGTAATAATGCAAGTAAAACCTCAAACAACACCTGATACACATGCTCGTGATGGGAGTAACAATCAGAGGCAGATCGACATTATTGTAACCTATATATCCGTTCATCTATTGCCCATAGATCTTGTATATGTATTAGTAATATCTACAAAATAGTTGATTGTGATTTAAACTGTAGAATTCTGTAAACTTTAAATTTGAAATACACTTGTGGTTCTAAATTCTTCTTTCATTATATTTACCAGTAGATTTATTTTATCATTCTACTTTGTTTTCCAAGATTGATCATATTACAGGATGATTTTTTTTTGTTGGAATGAGTAAACCATTCTGCTTTTTCCAGCATTCATTCGGAGGTTGACAAATCTGAGGACGCTATATATGTCTGACTAATTTATGGTTGGATGACATATCCATTATTGGCAAACTTGGAAATTTGAAAATTCTATTCTCAGTTAGATAAAGTGCCAGTGGAGAAAGGAAAATTGAACCGATCTAATTATCTTCGAGTTTTTAAATAAGCATTGAGTACTGTGTTTTTAATCTTGAAATGAAAACTCTCGTCTTTCATTTCTGTTGGTTACGCATAATTATATAGATTTTTAACTTGTAACCTTCACTCTGTTTTTCTTCCAGGCGTAGAATCACAGCCCATCTAATTTTATTATTAATTACTAGATGTGCTTAGCTCCCTAGAGTGATAATATCTCTAGTGTGTTTGTAACTATAACGAAGCTAGGATTTTGAGTGAATCGGTGTTGTATTCTAGAAAAGCAAGCATAGTAGATTCTGGATAAATTGTTTATACGTATTAAGTGAAATTTTGAACACAAATACATGACAGAACCCTTAGAAAGGGTTGTACCTCCGCCCCTGATGCCCAGTGAACAACTTAATGAACTGTATACACAAATAGCTAAACAAACTATCTAAATCAACTTCATCATCAACAACAATTCCCTATTCTACATAAAACATAAAACATTCCCAGTAGTATTATGATTTCGGATAAATAAAAAGACCTTCAGAACTCAATAAAAAATCATGACGACATGCAGCAACCACCACTATTCCCACCAGAATCCGAGTCCTGTCCAGGAACAATGATCCTGGTTCCCTTTAAAGATTGCGACTTCCCATAATCAGCTCCCGGAGCTGCAGTGAGCGTATTCTTGCTAATGATTTTATAAATTTCTGTTAAAATTGTCATGAACGCACCCTCGACGTTTGTGGATTGAAGTGCTGATGTTTCCATAAAGAAAAGATTCTCCCTTTCTGCGAATTCTTGAGCATCTTCAACTGGTACAGCTCGAAGACTTCCTAGATCACATTTGTTCGCGATGAGCATTATAACTATGTTCTTGTCCGCGTGACCTCTTAGTTCCTCCAGCCATCTAGCCATATGATCGAATGATTGACGTTTTGTTAAGTCATAGACTAGCATCGCGCCAACTGCACCTCGATAATATGCACTTGTTACTGCTCTATACCTGAGATAGAAATGAGATATGATTCATTGAGTTACGACAATTATCAAATTGGCTATACTCTTCAAAAGTAGAGCATTTTTTAGGATCCCAACAACATATTTGTCAAGAGTCCGAGCAACATAGTTTAACAAAAGGTAAATGTTTACAGACAAAAATGGGATCTAGGGAGGGTAAGATGTATGCAGACCTTACCCCTTCCTTTGCGGAGTAGAGAGGTTGTTTCCAACATACCGTCGATCAAAATAGATATATTGTAAGTCAAGAAGAAACATACATATTGAAGTCTAAAAACCACTCTTTAAGAAGATTTATCACAAAAAAACAAGAACGTCGTCTCAAATATGTCAAACAAGTTGGGATCAGCAATATGAATTCTAACTAATAACCATGTCGTTCCATTTAAGCTAATCTCAGACCAATACTATACAAAATAAAATATAAAAAGCAATAGGATTTCTCTATATTTTTTCATACCTCTGATAAAACTAAACGATTCCAAGAAATATTAAACGTACTAACTCCCAAAACGCCTCAATCCCAAGCAAGTTAGGATCGCAAACCAATATTACATAAAAACAAAATGTACTAGAATTCTCTATATTTTTACAACCAAACGACTTCCATAAAACATAAAACCTAAAGTAATCGTACTAACATGGCTAACACATAATTCCAAACTAATTAACATCACCTACACAAATTTTTCGCTAAATTTGCATGGATTACACGAAAAAAATGAAAAAGAAAGATAAAATTCGAGAAAAAGAACCAAACATAGAAAAATTGAAAAAATAAACTGACCTTTCTTGTCCCGCGGTGTCCCAAATTTGTGCCTTAACGGTTTTGTTATCAACAAGTAAAGTTTTTGTTTGAAACTCAACCCCAATTGTAGCCTTTGAATCTAAACTAAATTCATTTCTTGCAAATCTAGCCAATAATTGAGATTTACCAACTGCAGAATCTCCAATCAAAACAATCTTAAAAACATAATCAATCTTTTGATTATAATGATCAGCATACAAATTCGAAGACATTATGACCCAAAAAATTTCCCCTTCAACCCAAAATTTGTATGAATGTATCTTCCAAATCTCCGGATTTTATCATATGGTTGAAAATTAGAGATGTGTTGATCGAAATTTGTATCGAAAGGATACAAATAAATCAAGATCCCCAGTAAATATGGAAATGACCAAAGATCAATTTCTCATAAATTTGAAATTATGTGTAAAATTTAGAATTTGCTTCATACATTCATAGGAAAGATGAAAATTTGGAAGAAGAAAAAAATACCAACGGTTAGTGTGGGTCCCTTCAACTGTTTTCTGGAAAAGGGAAAAAAAGAGAAGAAAAAAGTTTTCTTATATTTTTTTCTTTTTTTGTTTTGGATTTTATGATACAAATAAATGAAATTGTCATAGACACTTTTAACATATTTAGTAAATGTTGAAAAGTATATAAATTTAGTAATATCCTTTTTTGTTTCAATAACTACTGAAAATGTCTACTCCATTTAAAATAGGGAAAAGACTTAAATATGTCATCGAATTTTGGAGAAAAAAAATCATCTATGTCATTCTTTGATAATGAAAAATTGTTTCCATTTTATAAAATCATATTTTATACATGATCAATTATGATTCGGTCACGTCATTAATTAAATCAATTTTTTAAAAGAGAAAAAGTTCAAATATGTCATTGAATTTTAAGGATAAACTTATCTATGTCATTTGTTCAAGTTTGACCAATCTACGCCGTTTTAGTTAACAAACAATGGCATAGATCGAATGGGTCTTTTCTCAAACAGAAATTCTACCGATGAACCAATCTTTTAACAAATGACATAAATTAATTTTTTTCTCAAAGTTTAATGACATATTTGTGCGTGTTCCTTTTAAAATAAAGAAACTAACGATTTTTACCTAAAATCGTATTAATTCAGATATAACTTTCGAAATATTATTATATGATATGAAAATATAAATAGTGGGAAATTTAGTTGTACGTGTAATGTACCCACCCCATTAGGTGTATCGTGCAAATCTGGACACAATCTCACATATGAATTAACTAATATACATTGATTGTATTTTTTTTATAATATGCCAGTAGCTATATTGATGACCCTAAATATTAAAATTCAGCTCAATAATATGATAATAATGTAATATATAATAATATAACACATTAGTGGTGAATAGCAATATATATGGGGTCATTTTATTTAATTCTCGATTATCTTCGATTTTGTTAATGTGCTTCAGTTATCACATTATTTTATTGCGGCTATATTCTTTTCGGCATGGTTTCTTCGACTATGTTTGCTTAACATACTTGATTCTTTTATATGTTTTATTTGAGTCGAGAGTTTATCAGAAACAATCTATTTACCTTCATTATACAAGAATATAGTTGCGTACACCCCTTCCTCTTCGAATCCCACCAATAAATTACACGAAATATGCTGTTGTTATGAAACATTTTCTTCATCCTTTATATATATATACTATCAATTGACACTCTTGTTCTTCTGAAACAGTAACGTCCATTTTCTAAGTCGTAAATAAATTTTATAGAAAAACTTAATGGGGGAGACTATAAAGCATCCAGATGAATTTTATCCATTGATGAAGCTCATGTTATTGGCTAAACGCGTCGAGAAGAAGACGTCAGTGTGGCTATTGCAGCCACACTGGGCCTTCTGTTACGCTACTCTCCGTAAGGTGTCTCGTAGCTTTGCTCTTGTCATTCAGCAACTTCCTAGCGATCTTCGCGACGTGGTAAGTTAATCTTCTTTGTTTCAATTTGTTTGTTTTACTTTCCTTTTTTCGTTCGTTTCAAATGGAACTCTTCTCACTTTTTTGGTCTAACTCTTCAATTTTAATTTTCTACGTGATATGTCTAAGACTGCAAGATCGACCTGTCTTTAATTTGAGATCGTAAGACTCAAAATTCTTATTATTTTCTTTAACTTTGTGTCACCGAACAAATAAGTTGCAATGAAAAGTTGTGACTTATGAAATTCCATCAAACTTTGCAGGTTTGTGTTTACTATTTGGTTCTTAGAGCACTTGATACTGTTGGTATGTTTGCTAATCTATGGAATTTTATTTTGCACTTTCTTTAATTAGCTTTTTATTTCTGTGTGAAAATTCAGGTAGTCAATCAACTGAGTTATGCAGTGAAATGTAGCGTTCGCTAATTTCTTCTTCTATTTTTTTTTTTCAAATGGACAGAGGATGATACCAGCTTAACAACTGAAGTTAGAGTACCCATTTTAAAAGACTTCTATTGCCCATTTACATGATCCTGAATGGCATTTTTCATGTAAGTTTTCTTTAATTTCTTTTCAAACAAATCAAACTAATCTTAGTTTTGTTCTTAACTCGATTGACTTGTTAATTTATTCAACTTTGACAATCAAGCATATTTGGTTTGAGTTTAAGTTATATACATCGCTAGTGTAATAAACAACAAATCTCTAGTCAACCTTGTTTCAAAAGATTCTCGCTTAACATCAAGCCTATTGAGATTAGGTAGAAGTAACAAGATGTCTTCAACATATTTTTTTTGTTTTAGCGCGAACAGAGTAGTGTCTAACCAGGACAAGTAATCAACTGAATTTGGATCTTGACATGTCGATGGTTTTTAACCATAAGCGTTTTGCCAGAATGACGGCGCGTTTATCAGGAATTAGGTTGGGGTGATTGGCGGTTTCAGGATCCCCTAATTTTTACACTATTAAGTCAGCTAAGGAGATAAGCCTCCTTAAAATATCGGATTAAGTTGCAATCTTAAAAATAAGATAGGATATCTGCTATAACACGTAGAAGTTATGTGATGGTGTAAAAATTTATTTTTCAATTTAATTTTTGTCTAGTTACCTTATACTATAATTTTTATTATTAGGTGGCACAATGGCCTTCAAAGTTCTTATGGACCAATTCCATCATGTTTCCACTGCTTTTCTAGAGCTTGATACAGAGTAAGATCTTACCACACACAAAAAAAAAAAAGTTGTTAACTTTCAGGTATTAACATCTTGTTGCGTATTGAAATTTGATTGTAAAATATTTGGGCGATTTGAACAAGTTGGACGAGTTAACTGGATCTTCTCAGTCCATATATAGTAGTAATTATTTGGAAATTTATATTATAGTCTGAAATGAAACTTAATTGCATATATATTAGTATTTGTAAATGAAACGTTCTGCGTATTTTGCAGTTATCTGGAGGTGATTAAGGATATTACCAAGAGGATGGGTGAAGGAATGGCGAAATTTCTAAGCAAAGAGGTGAGTCGCGGAATGTTAACAAATTATTTATAATTTCTCATGATGAACTTCATTGCACATGTTTATTAGAATGCACGGATTCAGTTCTTCATGCCTTTGTATAGCTATTCCTCTTTCCCTTCTTCCTCTCCGTGATTCAAATCCTCAAAGAAACTCAATTGATGGAGTAATTACTAGTATATCTGCTATTAATACCGTCCACATATTTTGAGTTAAAATTTCAATGCTATAAGAACTATTAGCCTGTTATGAATTATGTGTTTTTGTCATTTTTGAGTAATCTTCTATGTATATGTTGAAAAGGGAACAAAGTTAACAGAATCAACCGATGAGTTGCTTGATCTTTGATTATTTTGAATTTAGTCTTGTTACGCTAGCTTTTTATTGGTAATTTCGATGGCTAGTCATCATACCAAAGCATGCCAAATGTGTGCTTTTACGATCACTGGTCCCTTAATCATCGTACATTTTACATACAAGTGATCTGGTCTCATGCAGGTAGAAACAATCGATGATTATAATGAATATTGTCACTATGTAGCTGGACTTTGTGGATTAGGATTGTCAAAACTTTTCTATGCTTCTGGAAGAGAAGACTTAGCACCAGAATCCCTCTCGATTTCCATGGGTTTATTTCTTCAGGTATTGGCCCCTAACATGTTTATCGCGGAGCCTTAAAAAAAGCTTTGTATGCTGGCTACTGATTACAAGCATATTTGGCTATACATTTCAGAAAATAAGCATCGTTAGAGATTATCTAGAGGACATAAATGAACTACCTAAATGTCGTATGTTTTGGCCCCGTCAAATTTGGAGTAAATATGTTAACAAACTCAAGGTTTGTTTTCATCATAACATGTGCTATTTCTTGTTTGAAGTTCATACGTTGGTTCGTATCTGTAATTTCCATCTTCTTTATGTGTCTCAGGACTTTAAGTACGAGGATAACTCGGTCAAGGCAGTACAATGTCTGAATGAAATGGTCACTAATGCTTTATTACATGTAGAATATTGTCTGGTTTACATGTATAATTTACGAGATCCTGCTATCTTTCAGTTCTGTGCAATTCCGCTGGTATAAACTTCCCTTGAACTGTTCAAAACGTTGTTTTTTACCATATGTCCTAATGGTTTTATGACTTTCTTATACTTCCAGGTCATAAATATGGGGAATTTGACGGTGTACTACAACAATGTTGTAATTTTCAAAGGTGTTGTAGAAATGAGACGAGGTATAGATACACTACTTGTCAATATGCATGTCTATTACTTCAACTAGACAAGTTAATATAACGTTAAGGTGTCCGATAATGTTTTGTGGATAACAACAATTTCTTTCTATGTTTTGTTCTTTGGTTTCTTCTTTCCAGGCCTTTGTCTAAGATTATTGATCAGACGAGGACGATGGCTGATGTCTACGGAGCTTTCTTTGACTTTTGTTGTATAATGGAATCTAAGGTATATAACATGTACTATTCTCAGAACAATCTTATCTCTGCATTAAGTAGCGGAGACATACGTGTCCTGGATTCACCTCTGATTACGTATACTATAGTATGTTGAATAATCTCATTTTCTTCTTCGTGTGTTTACGTCTTACTGAAAATCCTGACTCCGTCATTATCAGCAGTTGTGACTTATTCATTCTACAGGTTCTGATCTTTATGTCATTTTCAAATATTAGCTGACATTCTACTATGGTTCTTATCTTTATATCAAATTTTGATTCATTAATTTCATCGTGCTCGATAAAACAACTTATCAATCGATGCTTTTCAGGTTGATCGTGATGATCCAAATGCAACGAGTACTTTGAAGAGGCTTGAAGAAATTTCAAAAACTTGCAGAGACTCTGGAACCTTACTCAATCAAAGGTTTGTTACCTTGTAATTCATCTTATGAAAAAAATTTACACTATCAGTTGATGACTTTATTTACCATCAGGAAATCTTACACATTCAGTCATCAGCCAAATTATAATATTCCAGTTTTGGTGGGTTTTTTTGCTCGTATTTAGTTCATATTTACATATATTTTACATGTGTGGAGTGTCAATCGAAAACAGTCTCACAAGGTAGGGGTAAGACTGTGTACAC